AAATAAGAATAAATAAGTAGACTCGCTAAGTACAAGAAGATAAAAGAAAGAGAAAGCGAAAAAAAAAGAAAGCAGAAAAAAAAAGAAAAAAAAAAATGAAAAGAAAAAGAAAAACAAAGAAAAGTTGAGAAAGGAAAAGAAGTAGAGATAACGGAGGGAAGGACATTAATGTTAGCGATTTCTCGCGAGAGAAGGTCGAACGTGCGTTGTCACCAAAACGATGACGTCAGCGGCACATCGTTTCCCTTGAAACGGAAGAGAAGTGAAAGGGCAATTGGGGAGGGGGAAGGGGCAGGGAGCGGAAGAATTCGAGAAAGTAGAAAAAGAAAAAGAAACAGAAAAAAGATAAGGAGAAGAAGAAGAAGAAGAAGAAGAAGAAGAAGAAGCAGCATGTGGCAGAAGAAAAAGAAGTAGATGATAGAAGAGAAGAAAAAGTAGAAGTAGAAGCAGAAGTAGAAGCAGAAGTAGAGATGGTGCGCCCTTAGCGGAGAAGAGTACAGGTACACAGAGTAGGGTATATAGATAGCTATATAGATAGAAAGAGAGGGGGAGAGAGAAAGAGAGAGAGAGAGAGAGTGAGAGAGAGAGAGAGAGAGAGAGAGAGGAAGGGAATGAAGGGGTAGTTGGAGGAAGGAGGAAGCGAAAGGGTGGTTTGTCTGGCGCTTGCGTATTCGCGTTCCTGTTCATTTGTCAGCCGAGCACAGCTTCCACCACCACGACGAACGGCACGGCGCCTGCCTTTCCTCCCTCTATCTCTCTCTCTCTCTCTCTCTCTCCCTCTCTCTCCTTCTCTCTCTCTCTCTCTCTCTCTCTCTCTCTCTGTCCGTCTCTCTCGACACTATTCGATAACAAACTCCATAGTACCAGTACTGGTACGGTACTCCGGAGCACCGGATCGTTCTCCCGGCGTATCTCGGCCGTCTCGTCGGCCTTCGAGTATCATATCTCCTCTCTTTTCTTTATACAAGAGTGAAAGAGAGAGAAAAGAAAAGAAAAGAAAAGAAAAGAAAAAAAAAAAAGAAAAAAGAAAAAGAGAAAGAAATCAAGAAGAAAAAAGAGAAGGGAAGAAAGAGAGAGAAGGAGAAAAAAAAGTCTACGCCGTTTCTATCGCTTGAGAGAAGCTCTTCCTCGAGCAATATAACTATCGGCTTCGATCACGAAAAGTAAACGTTACTCTTCTCTTTTTTTCCCTCCGAAAGTCCCTCCGACAACCACCCACAACCCGATCGACTAGTAATCCTCAATCCACGTTCGACCCCAATATCACTCGATCTTATTCTTCTTTCCTATCTTTCTTTCTTTCTCCCTCTTTCTGTCTCTCTCACTCTCACTCCCTCTCTCTTTCTTTCTTTCTTTCTTTCTTTCTTTCTTTCTTTCTTTTTTTCTCTGTTTCTCTTTGCGATTAAAATTGTCCATCTGTCCGTCTGTCTCTCAGTTTCTCAGTTCGTTCGTTCGTTCGTTCGTTCGTTCGTTTCTACTTTCCTTTTACCCTTCCCTCCCCCATCCCCTCATTTCTTTTCTTTTTCTTTTTTCTTTTTTAATTTTCATTTTCATTTTCATTTTCATTTGCACTTGCATTCGCATTTGCATTTTTTCCTTTTATCTTCGTATCACGGGTATACGGGTGTTCTCGTTATATTTTTCGCCGTCGTAACAACTAATGTCATTACTTTAATTGTTTTCCCATATATTTTAATAACTTTTGTTTCGTATGATGTTTCAAATTAGAAAATAATTTTATTATAAAATGGGAAAAAAGTGTGTGTGAGAATAAAAGTGTCTTTGAACTTTCCGTAAACTCTCGTGGTAAGTCGACGGGGAGGGGGTGGAGTTGGGGTGAGTCGTGTTGAAGGCATCTCGAGTTTCATCGCGTTTCACCTCTGTCTCTTTGTTTTTCTTTCTTTAACCAGACACATATACACACACACACACACACATACACACACTCTCTCTCTCTCTGTCTCTTTTTCTCTATTCATCCATTGAATCCCATCATCTGTCCTTTCTTCTTCTTATCGTGCAACGAAAAAATTTTTGTTTTTCTCGTGTCGAGCCACCGGTAGTCCCATTGCTTTCCAGTGCATAACTTGTTGCTCATACGTAAGCAGTGATCCGAAACGTTTTGTCGATTTCAACCCGCAGAACGTGAAGAAAGAAAGAGGGAGAAGTGAAGAAAGAATAAGAAGAAGAAGAAGAAGAAAAAGAAGAAGAAGAAAAAGACGAAGAAGAGAAGAAGGAAGAGTAGGAGGAAAAAGTGAAGAAGGAGTGAAAAGAAGAAACTGGAAAAAAAATTTGTTTCTTTTGATTTGAAATTACATAAGGAAAATGCGCACTTGGGGTTGTTGTCAATGACGAATCTCTTATTTTCTTCTTTCTTTCGAAACTTTAAGAGGATGCATTTGAATTGAGGAGAAAATATCCCCTCGTCGAAAGGAAACCTAAAGGATTTTCTCACATTGGGCTCTGTTCGTCTATCTTATTACCCGCAGCTTAGAGTGCG